AGAAATGAGGAGCAGATATCAGGGGCTCAAGTGGGAAGGGAATGCTTTGAAAATGATGATGGTGGCATATGTTCAAATGTGCTAGACACACTGGAGGAATGTATGGATTGTGATAAGAGATGTAAGAGCCCCCAATAAAAGTATTTTTTTTTAATTATCAAGGGTTCACGAAGGTGAGAGGGAGGGTAAAAAAGAGGAGCTGATACCAAGGGCTCAAGCAGAAAGAAAATGTTTTGGAAATGATGGCAGCATATGTACAAATGTGCTTGATACAATTGATGTTTTCCAGTAGTGTCTGATGGGGTACCATACTCTGCCTCCCAAGTCTATTTTTGGTATTCCCTTGGGGGTTTCATCAGTCTGCTCCCCCTACTCTCCTGCATGCCCTCAGTGCCTCACCCCAGCGTGATGGGGCCAGACTGTGCACTATTCCCACACTATGTATCCAGTGCTGCCCCCCACAGCATCATGGTTCAGTGCAGGATGCAGTGTCAGAAAAGACATCAAAGGTATTCATCTGGGGGAGGGAGAGGTGAAACTATCATTATTCGCAGATGATATGATTCTATACATCGAAAATCCCCTAAACTCCACAAGTGGAGTGTTGGAAGTGATACAGGAATGTGGCAAATTGGCAGGATAAAAGATCAACAAACAGAAGTCTATCAGACTGCTATACACATCAGACAAGATCACAATAGAGGCAATTAAAAAGGTAGTACCCTTTACAATAGCCAAGCACAAGTTGAAATAGCTAGGGATATACCTTACTAAAAAAACAAAAGATTTGTACGAGGAAAACTACAGAACACTATTATAAGAAACCAAGCATGACCACAACAAATGGAAGAATATCCCGTGCTCGTGGATTGGAGCACTCGATATAGTAAAGATGTCAGTTCCCCCCCAAGGTACTATATAAGTTTAATGCTATCCTGATACGAATAGCATCACCCTTCTTCAAAGAATTGGAAAAACGAATTACCAACTTCATATGGAGAGGGAAGAAGCCCAGAATTAGCAGAGAACTCCTCAAAAAGAAGGACAAAGGACAAATATGTGCTACCTGACTTTAGCACATATTATATGGCCACAGTGGTCAAAA